GAAGTGGCCGGGCTAATTTTCGTTGTCAATGTTAACAACAAACAAACAAACAAACAAATAAACAAACAAACAAACAAACAAACGCGAAGCTAAGCTAAGAAAAACGTGTTAATAAGAAGCAAATAAGTAATTCGATCAAGACATTGATTTCTTAGTTATATCAACATTGAGTAGAAATGTAATTCAAAATATTAATTGTTTCATTTTTAAGTTTCATTAATTTTCGTTTCGTGCGTTTTGCTTTCCTGTGAGTTTCAATTTCATCACACAGAGAAATGAGTGATATTTTGACTAAATAGCGATGCACTTTTTCCTTGTACGGGTCATCATGACCCAGTTTGTCTCGTCAAAACAGGTGCATCAGTGCTACGTGCAGAAAATCTTACGCTACTTGGACAACACGACCCATTCATTTTCCTCGGAGCATATATGACCTCGGCACTAATATTCGTGCCTGTTATTCCTCACGAATCCTGCAACTTTCGTGCCTCGCAGCTGTAGCTTAGAAGTGTCAGGTATTTTCTTGGCGTGTTAGTGCATTAATGCGTGCACCTGACGACGTGTTGCGTGTAGCTGCAGCGTGTTGCTGGTGCATCATACCTCCTCTGCACCATACCTCCCCTGCACCATACCTCCCCTGCACCATACCTCCCCTGCACCATACCTCCCCTGCACCATACCTCCCCTTCACCATACCTCCCCTGCACCATACCTCCCCTGCACCATACCTCCCCTGCACCATAACTCCCCTGTACCATACTCTCCTGCACCATACCTCCTCTGCACCATACCTCCCCTGCACCATACTCTCCTGCACCATACCTCCCCTGCACCATACTCTCCTGCACCATACCTCCCCTGCACCATACCTCCCCTGCACCATAACTCCCCTGCACCATACTCTCCTGCACCATACTCCCCTGCACCATACCTCCACTGCACCATACCTCTACTGCACCATACCTCCGTAATTCCTTCCTCCCGAAGTGCCTAAACTTAGTCAAGATCGCTGTAGTAAACAACAGAGATCTACCCTCGCCGTCTGCACTCAGAAGAATGACCGGCTCATGTTGTCCAAATAGTGACACACTTTATCTGCATTCAGCCTGAGCAGAGAGCGCACGTAGCGCTAATTTGTCCAAATTGCGATGCAGTTTTCACCCTGATGTTGGTCATCCTAACCCATTTTGGCCCGGAAAAATGACATCAGCGCTCTCTGCTCGTGCTGTAGGTGAGAACGTGTCACTATTTGGTCAGTATGAATCATTAATTTTTCCGAGTGTTGGTATTGACTAGCCGGCTCTCCTCTGCCGATTATTTTTAACTGAGTTGTAATGGACGAGTTTTCAACGCATCAAGCTACAACACGCAAAAAAATGACTGGGGCATATTGCCCGAATGTAAACACATTTTATTGCATGTACCAGTGATAAGTTTTTTCTGTCGTTCCATATTAAATCAGGATGATGACCCACAAAAAGATCTCAAGTCCATCGCTGTTTGGACAGTATGGCACTTATTTCTCTTAGTGTGATGTACTGTAAACAGCGAACGCATTTGTGTTCGTACTGTAGACGCGATTGTGTCGAGTCTAGGCGGGACACAAACGGACATAATAATGGATAATTTAGCTCCACAATTAGCTCCACAAACGGACATAATAGAACCTGTTGCAGTGACTGCCAGATTTCAAGATTTCAGATTTCTAGTAACTTAGGATACTTCGTGTTTCAGAGTAACTCGGCGTAAGTAGTCCAAATCTTGAAGCCGTTGTTTAAAATTCATTCGTCTTATAAATCATATTTATAATAAGAGTAATACCTTATCTTATTATAAATAATACTATTTGCAGTTTTTGTATAATCTGACGATTCGACACATGGTCAAAATGATATTCATTTAATCCAACTAAATCGTTTTAATTAAACTCGCTTATATATAAACAAATTAGGAACACATTTCCAAAATACATTTTCTTGTAAGAATCCTGAAATGCAGCCAGAAAATGAATGGGTCATATTGTCCAAATAGAGACACACTCTCTGCCTGTAGCACTGATACCTCCTTCGTTGAGCAAACAAGGTCAGGGTGGCCAAAACAGGAGCAAGAAGTGCATTGCCATTTGGACAAAGTCTCTGAATTTTTTTGAGTGTGCGATCTCTGAAAGAAATGAGTAAGACTTTGTCCGAAAAGTGATGCATTTTTTGCCCTTTGCGCTGGTCATCCTGAACCAGTTTGGCCCGGCAAAAAGGCGTATCTGTGCCAGGTTCTCTTGCTGCTCTTGCTGAAGGCAAGTAAGTGTGTCACTATTTGGACAACATAACCCATGCATTTTTATGCGTGCACCAATAATGAAGAAAACACACACGCCTTTGTTCGCTTCACTCGCCTCAATTAACACAAGATTTCTTGCCCAAAAACACGACTAACAACGCGACTAAATTTCTTTGTCTAGATGCGGTCGATATAGCGCGCAGTACAGTGCAGTCAGGCACTGACGAAAAATTATTGATGGTTTATATCTTGCAAATTGTGACACACTTTATGATACGCCCTTGTGCAAGGTTAAACTGGGTACCAACTCAGAAGCAAAAAGTGCATGGTTATTCGGACAAAACCTCACTGATTTCTCTGAGTGTGCAGTTCAGTCACGGTGTCGGTAGCATGGCTCGTAATATGCAAAAATTATTGAAAAAACGGCATTTGAATGACAATTGCTGTTAATCTGTTTTATTTTGATTAAAACAAGTATTTCCGTTCTATCAAAAAAATACGTTCACATGAAATTTAAAAAAAAATGACCTAAAATTATTGTTTCATGCAAAATCAAAAGCGCCTAAAATTTACCATCTAGCAATCTCAATTATTGTATTAATAAAGACTGATATTATAAGTGAGTAACTCTCTATCATTTTAAAAAAAATTATAATAACATAGAAATTACCCACACTTGAAGCCGAATAAAACTAGTCGTCGGGTTGAAACTCAGCGTGCAGGAATGTCGTGTGCTGAGTGAACCTCTCAACGCGACGCGGCTATAAAAATCGCATGCTCTGTGCTGAAAATACAACATTTTGCTTAAAATATCAGACATATTAGCTGCCGTGGTTAAATTAGGTTTTCAGGCCAATATATAACAAGAATACGCGTAAGTACTTATATTATCAGTCTGCTTATATCGCAAGTTCGCAAGGAATTTAAAAGCAAAGAAAACGCCAAGAAAATTCGCCATATCGATATTGAAAACGTTTCGGAGTCCAGCTCCATCATTAGTTCGACTAAACTAAAAATTAGTCAAAATCCAAAGACAGACATAAAACCTAAACAAGACCTAACATTATATCGAAATAAAAAGAACTACATATATCGGAACAACTTAGTCCTAGGGGTACGACATGAATATAAAACCCCAGCGATTCACTATTTCACGTATATGCGTATAAATGTATTCATATATGCAGCTGTATATTTAGCAGTAGGGTAACATGGGGCAGCGCGCCCCCCCCTTTTTTTAAACTAAAATTTTAATGAAGTTTCAATTGATACGAGGTGGTTCTTTGTTTTGTTTAAAGGTACAACTAATGAGGAATGTATGATGTGAATTAGACGCCTATATGTTCATTCAATTTTTAATGAAACACTGTTTTGTAAAAAGTGTCAAAATGGGCCCATTGCCCCACCCCTGGGGCAATGGGCCCATGGGCTTGGGGCAAGGCGCCCACCCATGGTCACTTTACCACAAATGCATATTTTTCGTTTGAAAATGATAAAACTACACTTTACAGTTAAAAATAAGAAAATGCAATAAAAAATATGACATTCACTCATTCATTAACAACTCAAAAAATCATATACTTAACTTGAAAAAAATATACTCTTGGCTTAAAAAATCAATCACTGACGTGAAGAAAAATATTTAATTGACATAAAAATATATATCCTTGACTTGAAAATATATCATTGCGATAAAAAATTCGTCCTTGACATGAAAAAATGTATAAAAATATATTTAGTTGATCAGAAAAAAACTTCGTTCGAGTTTCGTCCATAATCCAGATATTATGTGCAGAGAATTCGTACCTAATCGTGATTTGAGCCAACACCATAAAAACTCTCATCAACTTTTGGCTCATTGGTGTTGACTGAAATCAACTTTTGGCAAGGCAAGAGTCAATAACTCGAAAAGTGGTCATAAATACGCATAACTAGAAACAAAACCTGCTGCCTTGAGGCGGCAAATCAAAAAATCATGCAATATGAAGTGTAATTTGTAATTCAAAAAGCTAGTCATAGTTTGAAAAGGTCATTGAGACAAATCTAATGATTTATAACACAAGACTTCACCATGGGCGCTTTGCCCCGTGACACGCGTGGGCCCGTTGCCCCCACTAGGTATCCTTTCAATTTATATCGTGTCAACATTTTATTTTAAAAGCTAATAGTCTAAACTTGGTCTCAAAATTATCCCTATAAATATTACTTTTAAAAAATAATTCACAGTAATTTCAAAAGCTTCATCTATAGTAATCGAAAAAAACTTTGTTTAGCGGCAAAAAAATTTTTATCTGGACTAAAACAGTTATTCGCAAAGAATTTAATAACGCAAACACTTAGTAAAACGTAAATCCGTACACTTCATCCCAGTGAAACTGTCGACCGGCGGTAGAGAACACGGACCAATATCTGCCATACAGTACTTAGCGAGAAACCCGCTATGGGCCCGTGACCCGCAGTGGGCTCGCTGCCCCATGTTACCCTATATGTTATAAATTTATTTAGTTATATAAATCAATCTATATAACAATTAATTCGAACGTATTTATTTTCAATATTATTAACTCTTATTTTTTAGTATGATTATATATAATTATCTCTTGGTATAGTTTAAAATAAAGCGCCATATACTTACTGAGTTCACTCCATTTATTCTCCTTAACAATTATTATCTACCGCTGATTTCCTAAACAATTTTCATCTTACTAACAATACGTCCTTTACAATTATTATATTGTTAACAATACGTCCTTAACAATTATTATCCACTGATTTTCCTATACGTATTTGGTAATAAATCCAAATTTGTATACATCTTCATGTGATATATAAGATTTCTTTTGGAAGAAATTCCAAATGAAGTTCAAGATAAAATTCAAGCATGAAATTTGACTTGTAATCTTTTGGTGCTAATAACACTATTTAGTAGTTGTATACTCGGCAATGCCGATTTTTTTCGCTAGTGTAGACTTGCAGCATATTATAAAATTTTGCAGCATATTACGCAAATTTTTAGCATAATATTAAAATTTAACAGCTCTTTGTTGAGAATTTTTATGATTTCAACAAATCAGTATTAACGAGAGATACTAATTGATAAATTTGCCTCAAGATTGAATGAATACTTTTACTAATAATCTAGCTGCAATATTTAATAATTTTCTTAATTTAAACTTAAATCAGTGGAATACAGCGGATAATTTAAATTTTGTGAGTTTCCAAAACTGTTTAATAAGTCAATAAACTGTCCGAGTCATGAGCAAACTGCGAAGACTTTTTTCTGTAATAGAAAAAAGATTAATACATAAATATTCCATCTTGCATGGCTTCGATAATTTTTCTCAAGCGGTTTCCGCCATTAGTGATATTCGATTGCATTAGTGGTATGTGATTGCCACTGGTGGTAGATGATTGCCATTAGTGGTCGGTGATTGCAATTAGTGGTAGATGATTGCCATTAGTGGTAGGTGATTGCTGGTACTGTTAGGTGATTGCACAACATCGACCGTCCGTTAAGTCTCTCTTGTTGCTCTAATGGAACGTCGCCTCTGATCAGACTTTGGATGAGTGATGGCGGCAACGAGGCTAAAGCGGCCGAGAAGTTTAAAATTAATGGAGTTTGTTGCTGCGACGTCAGGATTAAACGCTAGTGACGCGAAAACGAGGCGAGGAAAAGTATGGGTGAAGTTTCTTGGTG